TCCAAAACGAGCGCCGTTTATCTAGTCAGCTACCACCGTCATTTCGCCTTGGCATGGACGCCTCTCTCCCACGTCCTGTTGCTTTTTTTGCTGAGGCCCCACCGGAGATGTCTTGTTTCACAGCCACATGCACACACTCCCGCGCCTTGTTGGGCCACCCCCTTGCCAGCGGTGTGATTTGTGGCTGTCGATGGCACTTGAAAAACCAGTCTAACCCCCGCCCTCTCAACCGGGGCTGTCACTTCGGTCGCCGTAGCCACCCGACCCCTTCTCCCCCCCCCCGCCTCACCCCACCCTCTTTGGGCATCCTCTTTCCCCCTGACTCCCACCCACCCAACTAGACTTCGAGACCGGGCACGCCTTTGTCTCTCTCAGCTTCTCTACTTTCTTCCCTCCTGCTTAACGGTAGAGTCATTGAGTCCGGTTGTCGGCTTACTATACTTTGGTGTGCAGGTGTGAAGCTCAGTTACCGTGCGACGTCGGATCCCCCCTAAGCTCTCCTCTCCAGTCTTTTATCCCCTCCGGTCGGCGTCTTGCTCTCCGGCGCCTAGAAAACGAGAGCGGGCCTCCTACATGCTTCTACCTTCCGGACTGTGCGCTTTCGGTTTAGCATTTGATTGTGTCCTCTGCGCATGAGATATCGTGGTGCAAATTCTTCTACTTTGAGAAATGACGATTTCCTTATTTTCCACGAGTTTTTCGAACTCCTCTGAACTGTAGCAGAGGCCAGGTTTTTTTTAGAAAGATTCAATGTCTCCGAGCTCTGTTACCCGAACTGATGGGTCAGGAGCTGACACCACGCTTGAAGGTACAGATGAGGGCAGCCAGTTTGATTCTCCACTCCGTGAAACTGTGCGCGGTCAGATTCGGTTGGTAAACGGGCACCGGGCATGTTGTGGCAGGCATAGGCGGAGATCTACCGTGGATAAACTGTCTCATGAAATTTCAACCGAGTTTTTGAAATTCGTTTTAGATTCGAATAGATAACTTATGTAAAATTGTAATGGTAATTACCGTGCAGTATGATCTAAGAATATTTCAGACACATCATCATGTCGCCTTTTCAGTGATCTTCTTCCGGGCCGTCTAAGAAAGCTACGCTCTGCGAAAAATGACTACTTAAGTAGCCTGATTTTTCCCATCGATGTTCGATGCCCTTATAAATCCAATTATATATTTGGAAACGTAGGGTCCGCATCCACTACGTCCGCATCCACGCTTTCACGTCGTCGATTTTCCTTGGACTTACCGTAGAGCACTCTCTGCTATCGGGACGATTAGTATTGGAATTTTTTGATTTTACCAATTCTAAGTCTGTGATGACCGAGTCGACAGACAAACGCGCCATCTGACGAGGTGTTTCCTTATTGCTGGTGGCACACAAACCTTGCAAGTGCTTTGGGCAAAGTGGTTCACAATTTATGAAGAGCTTATAATCGTGCTCAACAATAAAATGTTTCGATTTGAATGAATCAAGACGATTACCTTGAAAAACCCAGAAGTCTTATTGATGACCAAGAACTGTGTAGACCTTTGCATGCATTGGATACTAGAAGAATGACAGATCAGTTGAGCAGTCCGCCCAATGAGCTCGCACGCAAAAAGGTAGCCATGTCGGATGAATGACGTCAAGTGAGACCATCTATGGTCTGCTCAAGATCCGCAAGCCAGATGTTCCGCAACTATTAAATGTTGCCCAAAAATGCGACCCAACCCTGTACTTTTAAAAATTCTCAAGTGACTTGCTCCCCATCCACCTCGCAGTTCCTTCCGTGCTTCCTGACTTGCGTCTTGTCGCCAGAAAGAACACGCTGTGGTACTTGCGCGTCCTGCTCCACGCAATCTTCTCAGACACAAATTTCGAGTAAAAAAACTACAGTGAACAGCAGCAGATCTTCCATGACGTTCTGTCAATACCAAAACAAAAGTCAATTGGTAGCCTACAAACGACACACAGTTTTCAAGGCCACCATGCGGAGGTAAGCAAAAAAGCCTTCTGAGGACTTCCTTCAAGCTTGCAGGACTCACTGCGACAACCCTGAAGAAAATGCAAATGTGACCCGACATTCTGGCCATTGATTAATATGAAATGGCTCCCAAAACCCTTTTTGTCCGAACGCCTCAAGTCGGCCGCGAGAGCCAAGGCCTTTGGGTCGCACTCTATCGCAGAGACACCATGCACAGCTTCACAACGAAGGCCAAGGGCAAAGTAAACCACATTCCTCAATCCGGTACTGCATCTCATACCTTAATTGCCCGGTTGCAGTTGCGCAGCTTAAGTCGGACAAGAGCGGTACTCCGCGTGCGCAAGCAGAAACTAGGTGTGGTAGCAGTTATCCTAGGTATCTGTCCGTGCTTGCGACAGGGGCATGTGTTCAATTTCGCAGCCGCGAAGACAACTGTTCAAGCTGGAGTAGCTGATACAAATGAGAAGGCGGGCTCCGGCATACGGTTGAGACTGGGGTCGGATCATCCGTCTCTTTTCGGATTCACGCTTGAACGGATAAGGACGACTAGCACTGTTTCCACCGCTGTTCGTACTTGGTTTCACGTTAAACTTGACCGTCATCAGGCTAGTCGTTGATCGTCATGATTTCATCACCCGGCGTTGCTGATTGGCGTGATAATGACCCAGTAATTTTCCTCATCAACACTCTCGCTGGAACCAATGTTCACACACGCGCCCTTCACGTGACCAACTACTCGGCTCGCGCAGAGTCTTGGCAGTGAATGGAAAAGTAAGTGCTTGTTGCACTTTCTGACGGGCTTTGAGCTGACAAACCACCTCGTACGAGAAGTTCGGCTCCATCAAACTTGGGGGTGTGACTAGGCCAAGTCGAATGAGGCGCGGCTTGAGGGTCAGCTTCTTTCCTCCTGACCGCTGATGTGCATCCAGCCATCCTCGTTGGTAGTGATCCTCCGGTTTCTCCGTCGTTGGCGCCTTGCTCGCAAATGCACCAAATAAAGTAAGCGACTCCGGACGTTTCCCACCACGGGAACGGATCTTTTGGCCACACTTTCCAGCCTTTGATGATAGTCCCCATAGTACGTGCAATCCAAACTTTGAGTGGCATGTGGAGGCGGTTTATGACTCCTGGTACGTTCTTGACGTACAGACGCGTCCACCAAATCTCGGAGCCGGTACTATCTGGTCTCTCATCTCGCACCTACATCGAACCCAGTTAACGAATTCGCCATGAACATTTGTCGAAGATATTGCATCTGGACAGCCTTGTCTTCTAGTTCACTGCTGTATGTCTCAAGGTGCTGATAAAGCGCCCTTACCCAGGCGCATTGATGGCGGATTTGGCGGCCATACCCAAAGTTCAATACTTGCGTCCCATTCGTTGCTTTCCTGGACACTCGGTTTTCAGGCAACCACAATCTTTGTGACAGATAAGGAAGCCAAGTAAGGCCATCTGGTCGTTCCCATTCCTCCGAATCGCGAATCACACGTCCGCGAATACGTAATTACGACGTCTATTAAGTCTCAACACCCAATACCGTTGCATGCATCTCTCAAAGCCAGTAGACCCCGCAGACAGCGCTACTTCAAGTAAGGGTCTCCGTTCCTTACTTTTGCCAAAATAACGTCTTTTACCGCTTTTGACGTGCTAGTTACTCCTGCGACTGTCCGACTCCCTTGGACTCCTTTTACACAACACAGACTGGCTACACTTCAGCGCACCCTGAATTCTGTTTTTGCACACGCTTAAATTAGGGCCAGACTGAAGCGGTCACCATAGTCAACCTAAATCAGATGCAAGAATTCTTTGAGGCCTGGTACGCTAGTAGAGTTAGTGTCAACCTTTCTGTCAATCTAGATGCTCGCTTCGGCAACCTCTCCACACGGCGCATGTCTCCGCTGTGTCCATCCCAAATTGAGGACCGCTATTCCATATCCGACCGTCTGAGGTCTCATTGAACCCTTATCCCCCTCTCCCTTCAATAGAAGAACAACAGTCGTACTTCCCCTCCCCAATCTCCGACATCTATCCTAACACTGTGCCCACCTCCCTCATGTACTAGTGCTTTGTTTATCTGAACTAGAGACCAAAAACGCACTACTATGATAATCCAAGCCCATATTCATTGTGTCTGACGACGCTTTGGTGTCACCAACCTGAAGATTCAGGTGCACAAGTCGATTTTTTTCCAATGTCCCTCTACTCCACATGTATGACAGGTGCCGAGTTGCCGATGAATTTCATTTTGTTAAAGTGCTTACGGCCCATCTGGTAGACTCCAGTGGTGGACCAGCTGAGCCAGGTGCGTCTGTGCGCATGTTTGTGATTCCGGTCCCAGCTGGTCGTCAGGGTTATGATTGGCTGAATGAAGGCAAACAAACCCAAAACTGTGCTGTATTGATCTACCCTCCATACTCTGCCGCCTCCACTCTGATATATACATAAATGCATTCGTATGAACTGGAACGCAGGCATCCCAAAAAATATTATTTGATGGCAAAAACGTTCTTTCGGAAAAGTAGAAAATCTATATGCATTATGTTTATCTGGCTACTTTTTCCTCAGACCAGCGTAGTTGAAGGCATATTCATTATCGTCCCTACCTGCAATACTTACTTTTATGGACGAATTAGAAACCCGCCAGTTATGCACTACGCTCCGGAATCCTGTTGAGTTGATTTAACTGTCGCTGTCCGACCAGCAGAAATCTACACAGAGAATTTGGTTCGGACGTACATTTGCGACGTCCATTAGTCATGTCGCAAGTAGTTCGCTCAGTCTACTTCCATTTTCTGTTTGGAATTTCTATGTATTCAACTTTTTACTTTTTCTCGCCAACTTGCTCCTTGTATCCTTCTCTGCGGACATTTAGCTGACGTTCGATTTCCGAAAATTACAGATTGATCAAAAGGCAAGGGGAAGACACTCTTAGAAGGGGACGGATCGCGAGCAGATGGCGACAATGTAGCGGGGGGAAGATGCGAAGCATATTGAGTCGCCAAACTTTGATACTGCACTTTGTGCCTCGGAGGAACGAGGTGTTTAAAGTCTCGTAGGATATTGTCGTTCACCTTAAAAATCTATATATAGACTATTTAATGGATGATGTTCTTATATCTGCTACTGATGTAGAATGGGCTGCTCATCGTCATTTGACTCGGGAATTTTTATAGGTCCGACTGGTGCTGACAAAAGTCAGAAAGGAAAGCCTACTTTTACTTGTAAGTAGGTTTACTAATTTTGGAGATCACAAACTCTCGAAATTGTAGTTGTAGGCATTTGAAGACCCTCTCTTGCACACGAAGTTACAAGTGGTAATAACGGACGGCTGAATTCGAGAATAAAGAAAGAGGCAACTTTACTAACACTTTCCACGCAGGAAATGTAAGCAGCGGACTGTCTTTAGGATCAAAATGCGCAAAATTATCGTTTGATCCGAACCCCCCCCCGCGTCCTCTCCCGCCTCCGATCTACTTGCCAATGTCTTGACACGGGGTACAGGTGGGAGGGAAGGAGAGAGTGCGGTAGGTGCTGTGCAAGTCCACTACCACTATAAATTAAATCACGCACAAACCACCTTACCTGCTCTCACCCTGCTGTGGAGCACGCGGTGGACATCGTCGGTCGCGACGTTCGAACCGTTATTTCACTTACATGGTGTCGCCCACCGAGGTTGCCCTCAGAATTGCGGTTATACGTTCTTGCTGCATTTTTTGAGTAATCGTGTGCAGTCCCCAGTTTGTCTGACGTTATGACGGACTATTCGGCAAGGTCCGCTGATCGGAAATGTGTAATAAGCATACTGTCATTCCGATATGCCTAGCGTCCCTAATTACTTTGCAAAACTATGATCGTCTTCGGCTGATTTGACTTGTGTCATTTCACTTTTGGGCTCAGTCTGTTTTCATTAGGTCGGATTATGTTTACCGTTGGAGGGACGCAATTTTTCGCAATCCTTCCATCAAGAGGTTCCCTATTTATAAAAGCGGTGACAAGTCCACGTAGATATCATTTTATGCAGTCAGTGCCTTTGAAAGCGAAAAGTATGAGCTTATCTACAGGTTAGATGTCCCTCCGTTCCACCATTTCCGTTTGTGAAGGGGTTTCGTTACCGCAATGACTGCCGATACATGAATGGATGGAGCTGCGATGTCAGAGCTCAACAGCTCTTGGCTCTGGTAGTCGCCTCATACAATTGCTTCAAGAAGGAGACTGAGTTGCAAATTTGTGTCACGACTTTACTGCAACCCCTAGCAAAAATGAATCAATTTTAGGTGGATGCGCTCTCGGTTAGTTTGATTAATAACTTATGCTTGTGGATTTTCAGTTGGTAGTCTGACCGAATTGTCATCCTTCTAGGTTTTGTGGAGACTGATACGTCAGAAGACCCATTTGAGACTATCCGAATTGAGTACGAACGTCGACACAGACGCCCCACCGTCAACACACGTCAGACGCCAACGACTTCGTCAGCAGCCAGCGTCGAGCAAGAGCGTCAGCAGTTCTTCCAGCGTCATGCCGAGGGCCTAAGAAAGCGTGGCTTTCTCTTCACGGCTGCACCGGCGCGCAAATCGCAGCTGTCGGAGTTTTTGTCGCAGTGGCAAGCTTTCCTCTCAGATCACGAACCACTCACGCTGGGCAACCTGAGTCATATTCCCTGGCTGCCAGTTGCTGAGGGCGATGTGCCGGGCTTGCTCAGATTTGTTGGTCACAACTTTGCATCACTTCGACAACTCCAAGTAGACTGGCATCCCGATCGATTTTTCTCGCGTCTCGCCCCCCGACTGGCCAGTGAGGATGTTCGACGCGCACTGACTGGCAGGGTAAATGCAATATCGCAGCTCCTCAATGAGGGAGTTGCTGAGCTCCGGCGCCACAAGGCTGACACGCAGACTGCACCGAATTCATAGACTCCTGAAGCCCGCGTGTTTGTACACTTATTTTTTTACATGTCTGAAATGTTGATGTTAATGCACTCTCATGGTTCCTTGCATTTACTATTGTCAGAATATATCGGTCGTGTGTTTATTTTTTCCGGTGTAAGCCTTATCTGCCTGGAAGTCAGGAGGTTGATATGTTAAAATAAAGGTATTTGTCCTAATCTGACGGGGTGCGATTGTGTACACAATCTCATTCGAACGGGTAGCGGGGGCTTCTTACCGACAGTTGACTGAACATCGGTATTTTAGTCCGACAAGACTTAGATGCGGTTGCTGGAACAAAAACTTTATTCGTCTGACATTTGGGATTCACACTCAAACCCACCACCAGACAGTGTCAGATACGGGTACTTAGTACACGGCCAGTTGCAGGATCTAATGCTGTCTCTTATGATGGGTTCGAGCGTGAATTCAAAATGTTAGGGGAATAAAGCTCTTGTTCCATCAATCAGATCTGCATCCTGGAACTCGTAACTTCGCTCGTATCGGCTTTTAAATCTTATAGTTTGTCCGGAAGCTGCGTTTGTGCGAGAGAACTACGCAATCCAAACATGAATATGCAGTTCTACAGTCAGTAGCGGGGCATTCAGGGTACCCAAGTGCAATCTGTCTGCCTGAATGCGGAACCATGACTGAAATGTCGTGTTGGCAGAGACCTGCAGCGGTGTTGGGAAACGAAACCGTGACAGACGGATGGTTTTGGTCTACGGAACTCCTCAGTCTGTCTGGCTTGTCACATTGGGCACCAATACTTAAGGGACTGGTCAGGTGGCTTATTGAAGCAAAAGGTGATACAGCAGAAATCCCGTGGAACGTATACGCACTCGACCCTTGTCCCAAATACCAACGCGGCAGAGAAGGAGAACGCGAACGGCCACGAAAATATGTATTAGGAAATTGCAAGTCAAAATTAACTGGAAGTAACGCATATTTATAGCGTTTTACTGTGCTTCGTCGGCATTCCGTCCAATGTCCTTCGGGAAGAACATTCAAGACGAGCCGGTCGATAATTCGAATATGCAGATCGATCAGGCCCGAGAGGAAAAGCTAATGGAGAGGCGCCACGATGAAGATGACAGCGCAGTAGAGGAAAGGCACGTGACCTCCAGTGATTGGCTGGTTCTTGTTTTTGGGAGTGTAGGCACTCCCAACAGAGACTGAGTTGCGAATTTGTGTGTCAAGACTGCACTGCAACCCCTAGCAGAAGTGAATCAATTTTAGGTCGGTACGCTCTCGGTTTATTTGACTTATCACTTATGCTTGTGGATTTTCAGTTGGTAGCCTGACCGAATTGTCATCCTTCTAGGTTTCGTGGATGGGTTTGAGCGTGAATTCAAAATGTTAGGTGAATAAAGCTCTTCTCCCATCGATCAGATCTGCTTCCTATTAACTGCATCCTGGAACTCGTAACTTCGCTCGTACCGGCTTTTAAATCTTATATTTTGTCCAGAAGCTGCGTTTGTGCGAGAAAACTACGCAATCCAAACATGAATATGCAGTTCTACAATCAGTAGCGGGGCATTGAGGGTACCCAAGTGCAATCTGTCTGCCTGGATGCGGAACCATGACTGAAATGTCGTGTTGGCAGAGACCTGCAGTGGCGTAGGGAAACAAAACCGTGACAGACGGATGGTTTTGGTCGACGGAACTCCTCAGTCTGTTTGGCTTGTCACATTGGGCACCAATACTTAAGGGACTGGTCAGGTGGCTGATTGAAGCAAAAGGTGATACAGCAGAAGTATCGCAGTCGCCGACAGTGACCTGAAAGTTCGCTCGGTGTGTTTAAGAGAAGCTGTTGTTTGTTAGGTCTTTAGGAAGAATGTCCTTCCCAGAAATGCTAGCAATCTTAAGGCTGTTTTAACACGTTCGAGATCAAGTTAATTAATTTTCAGTGCTATGGTGCTTATTATGAGAGGTCATAGGGGTTATCAGTTACATCGAGGATAGTAGTTGATAAAGTGCACGTTCTGTGGTTCATTACACTTCATCCTGCCTAGGCAGAATCCCTGCAAAAACATGGCATTCGTTTCGCCTAAGTGGTGGCAAATCTGGTTTTAAAAAACGACCCAAGGAGACGATATGAGCACAAAGTAGCCATTTGCAAGGTCTTCTGGACAGAAATTCTCGCTGCAAACGGCAACATTCTGCAAAGCAGTGGACCCCCGTCGAGGTAGGGCCGATAACAAAGAATTTTTCTATTCACTGTGACCCAACTGTGAAAAACCCGGTGCCTCGGTGGGATTCGAATCCACGACACCAAGAGGAGGCTTTAGTACAGCTAACGCTCTAACCATCTGAGCTACGATACCCCACCGGACGACGCGAGTTTAATCACATTTGGGTCAAGTTTACCCGCCCAACTTACTGCAACGTCTTATACACACCACAGTTAGATCAACGTGAATTATTTTAAATCTTCCATAACACCTATGAATTACGTGAGCCTGTTCACCGACACGTAGTCACACCATCTTCATCCTGGGTACGCGACACAAAGTGTCGCGAGGATAAAGTATATGCGCTGGATAGGAAAATGCCAACTGTTGTTTAGTAAAATCACCGGCGTTTGAACGTCCCTGCTTTACTGACAGACGCACGCATTTCATCTAGCAACATTTCAAATATTTTCTATACTACCTGACTGCTTGTTAATGAAAATGAGCTTTCCTCTTACTATGAATTACGTGTGCGGATGCAGAACAATGATCCACTGTAGGCACTTCATCAGCGCCGAATCCGCGGACGGTATAGGTTAGCGAATATCATCCTGCTGACGAAGGGCCGACCAAAAAGTCTGCCGAACAACGCCTACTTTTAAAATTATTGTTGACAGTTCTCTATAATTTTTCCTTACCCCGCGCATATACTTAACCCCTACCAAAGTGCCACTGCATTCGGACAATCCAGTGAGCTCTACATAGGGAAAGGAGGCTGCAGTGACCTCGGACGGCTTCCACGGATAGGCTATCACGTTGCCTCTCTCCTTCCTCAGATGGTAGACCGAAAACCCAGCGTCGCCAGCCTGCTTCCTGGTTCCAATATTTCCGCAAAGACCGCAAACGGTGACGACACCGGTGTATGTACTTTCTCACTGGTTAGATGGGCATCTATCAAGTAGCTGGACTTTAAATACAGCGAAATTTGGAGGGATCCAGAAGATTGGAAACTTGATTCTGGTCAGACGTTTCGCAAACAACCTTGCGTAGCTACTCAACACTTATATTCCTCTCTTTGATCTCTGTCGCAACTGTCTCGTGTTTGCCCTTCACTGTTGGAGATTCAGCATCAATCCAAAGACTATGACTTCGTGGAATTGGTTTTCCCTCCAGAACCGTGCAAAGGGTTCTAAATGTCCCTACACTACTTGCCTAGGATTAGGTGCATGAAATTTGTCCAAGGCCTGTGCAAATCAAGGACAGGCTACAAAATATCAGACCCTCTTGGCGAACAGGTTGACTAACATGTAATTCACAACGCTATCTTCACTGTTGCAAGATGAGAATTTCCCGAATGCTATGAGCACAGATATCCAAACTTAACTGCTTTAACTGCCGTGTGTGTCACTGCGGTGAGGCAGCTCGAGCTACAAAACTCCAGGGCTTTGGCAAAAAGATACTCATCGCAAAGTTAGAGAATGGATAGGAGCAAGGAACAAAGTGCAATAGTTACAGCAGTGTACCTGCATGGCCACAAAAGAGGAAAGACGATAGACTGCAGCGGACTATTTCCCACATCAAAAGCTTAATACGGTTACCATGTTAGAGTCGCCTCCGAGGAGTCTATATTATCAAGGAGTGACAGCGCATGCAAAAGACAGAAGAAAAGATTATATCCGGTTGGGAATCCTTTAGTGCATATTGCACTCCATTCCACTCTAACCTCTCCCACTTCCCCAACCTGCATTTTCAGGATAATTTATCAGCAGTTTAGGGCACATCAAACGCCGGTACTGGGGGTTCCTATTCTTGCGCCTAAACTTGAACCCTAAAACTTGCCCTGACAATAACTCTCATTCCTACCTCTCCTAAAACAAACCGTAAATCACGTCCCCGGAACTGAGGACAAGGTCATCTGTAATTCGGGCGAGGGAGCATATTCACATGCTCGACCAGAAATATTAACCAAGTCAACCGTCGTCAGCTTGAAAATTAATTTTCTCGTCTGCGTAATTCGGATTGTGCAGAGTATGAAAATGCGCGTTATTTCCCAAAAACAGAAGATTCTTCTTCCTTCAAAATACTGCTTTTTATGTATGCGTGACTTTAAGTTCTAAAAAGCAGTTACGCCGTCTATTTTCAATTTTTTAACCTACCATATTTTCCACTCGTATGCAAATATCCCACAAGTAACTACGGAAAATTCTACCTTTAAACGTCAACTTTAGCATTTGAACACATAGCGAAATACTTTTTGTGCGATTTAGTTTCTGTCAGTATATAATTCAGAAACTGAACGGTACAGCAGAGCGTTAACCTTTTGAGCATCATTTTAGTTTTTATGTGCCGACTCTGTAGTATATTTATAACTTTACACCGAGCCTTACATGAGAAGGGATAACGCAAAGAACTCCAGGTCGATCTCAGATTGAACAGTCTATCCTATCTTACAAATACGTAATGGCCGTCTGTGGTTGAGTAAGAGATCACGACACTCCCACAGTGTGGGATCCGAGTCAGGCGTCGGTGGCACGCCTAGGTGCGGCTTCGGCCGTGCCAGCCTCCAACCTCTGTTGTGTTGGTTGAAATCCTGGTTATTTGTTGTGTGGACCAGGGGGTGTGGTGGAAGGCAAGGTGAGGATCCGTCCGAGCCATCCACTTGCTGCCTCCCTCGTCTCCGGTCTTCTTGACTCTGTCTAGACACCGGGCTCAGGCGGGGGAGGAGGAGAGAGTGTAGGTAGATGCGGCGCGAGTCTACTGGCACTATAAACCCCTGCGCAAGTCACCACCCCTGCTCCCACCGCTGATGCTGTG